AATCTTGAATTTTAGGGACATTCTAACTACGTTCTCTAGGCTCCATCACGCAGTGAGTTTGTTGCCCGGCATCATATTTGTCATAAATCAGCTGTATGAAATGTCAGATGACCCACGTAGGACACTCTGCAAGTGTGTTACATGCGTTAATAATTAATCTAATTAACCCGTTAAATCTCCAGCCCTAATTTTAAAGCATTCATTATATTAAAATACTTATCTATTCTTTGTTACACCTTTAGAAAGTATAATTCATTAAAAAAAGCATGAAAAAAAAAAAAAATCTCAACCAATATCAGTAATGCTTTACTTGAAGCATTTCTATGTAATGCATTATTAAAGTCTTTTAATGCATTAATTATGCCTTGTTATAATACATTGTATGATCGCATGAATAATTATAACAGTTATAATATATTATAATGCTTCGTAGTTACACATCATAATTCATATAAAAAGATTATTCATATGCATGTAGCAAGGAATCTGTAAAATGCACATTAACTTTGAATATATTTATTACTATTATTTTATACTTTTTTTTTTACAATTATTTATGAAAAGATATGATGCATTATAATATACATTATGAATACCTTTATAAAGCATCATACATAAAGGCTTCAAATAAATAAAAAAAGGAATTAAAAGGGTAGTTTAACAGTCATACATTGGCACAATTTGTTTTTTCAGAAATTCTTATTCTAATAATGAACCTGAGCCCACCGTCATAACTGCTGATGGGTCTCCAGACACCTTTTCCCACTCATATTTTACAATCTTTTTATCGTCTTTGCTCTCAATGCCGTTCAGAACCACATCTTCTTTGGGCTGAACGACTCTGTCCTGCCCGGTCACTGCGATTGGATGTTTGTCCTCCACATCTGCAAGAAATCAAAACACTGCAGCGATGAAACATTATGCAATATGAAACAACAACGGTGGGAATTGCACAAGATGCCAAGAATGATAGCGAGTAAGCAAGCCAGAGCTTATGAGAGAACACTGCAAGATGGATCTTGTATACTGAAGATCAGTAGATAGGGTGAGTTAGAAGAACTATTAAAGGGGTCATATGATGCTGCTAAAAAGAACATTATTTTGTGTATTTGGTGTAATGAAATGTTTATGCGGTTTAAGGTTCAAAAAACACATTCTTTTCCACATACTGTACATTATTGTTTCTCCTCTATGCCCCACCTTTTTGAAACGCGTCGATTTTTACAAAACTCATCGGTCTGAAAAAGCGAGGTATGCTGTGATTGGCCAGCTATCCA